CTAGGGCTTTTTTTTTTTTGTAGATTTCTTATGACATAGTTGATTTCCTGGGTTGTTATTATCTATTTAGGGTCTCAATTTCTTCTTGTTTCAACCTGGGAAGGTTGTGTTATGTCAGAAAGTCCTCCATTTCGTTTAGGTTTTCAAGTTTGTTTCCATACAAATTACATAGTAATCTCTGATAGACTTTTGTTTTTCTTTGGGGTCAGTTATGACTTGATCTTTTACATTTCTGATTGTGTTTATTTGGGATTTTTCTCTCTTTTTCTTGGTCTAGCTAGGGGTCCATCAATCTTGTTTATCCTTTCAGAGAATCAGCTTTTGGTTTCACTTTTCTTGTGTGTTATGTTTTTGTCTTCTATGTCTGGTATTTGGGGTCTTATTTTGGTGATCTGAATTCTTCTGCTGAAGTTAGTGTTTTGGTGGTTTTCTTTTCCAGCTTCCTTAGGTGATTTGTTAGGCTGTTAACTTGGGATCTTTCCATTTTCTTCATGTGTGTTCTTAGAGATATGAATTCCCCTCTTAGTACTGTTTTCATGGCATTCCACAGATTTTGGTAAGATGTTTCTTCATTTTCATTTGTTTCCAAGAATTTTTTAATTTCTGTTTTGATTTCTGTGTTGACCCAGGAGTTGTTCAGCATCACACTGTTTAGTGTTCATGTCTTTGTGGGTTTCAGGAGAACTTTGTTGATGTTGATTTTTATTTTTATTCCACTGTCGTCTGAGAAAGTGCATGGCAGTATTTCAATCTTATGACATTTGTTTATGCTTGATTTATGGCTGAGGATGTGGTTGATTTCAGAGTACGTTCCATGTGGTGATGAGTAGAATGTATATTCTGTGGTTGTTGGGTGGAATGTTCTGTAGGTATCTATTAAGTCCTTTTGGTCAAGTGTCAAGTTGATGTTCTGGATCTCTTTGTTGATTTTTTGTCTTGATGGTCTGTCTCCTTTCTTTAAGTTTAAATTTTATAACTGTTAGGTTTCTGGAAATATATATAAATTATATTATATACAATATATTATATTGCATATTATATATCTAGAAATATACACATACGTGTGTGTATATATATATTTTCCATATTCAAAAGGTACTTGGTGCTCTTTGGTGATGCTATGTTCCACTTATAGTCTAAATCATTTAAATACAGCCATTACATAGTTGTTGAGTGTTTTAAAATAAATGGTTATCTATTTCTTAACTGTCTCTAAACTAGAAATGGTAATTACATGAGTCTCAAAGCCTGGCTCTTTGTGTTTTATTATATTTGTTGATCTCTATCACAGATTAACATTTTCACTGGTAATTCCTCAGAACTAAATCCATTCATAGTGACTTTAGAGCACTGAAAGTAAGTTTCATGCCATAGAGTAGCAACATCGATAAAAAAGGAGCTGAGGGACTAGGGAACCAGTCTGTATAATCAGTTCAATTTTCAAACAGTGTTGGGTTTTGCAATTATTGGCTCACTATAACCTGTGAAGATAGTCCTAATGGTTCTTCAGCTCCTGAACTTCATTTTGTCAGTGAGATGTCTGCCAGAGAAGAACCACCACTGACTTTATGTTCCACCCGTCCTGCTGCATGTAATGGTGTCTTTGTGTGGAATACTGTGTCTGTACTGGGAACCACACATTTGAGATCTACGCCTGTGGAAAGCCACAAACAGTGAACTTCCATATCCAGAACTGGGTGGTGGCTCCGGAATACCCAGAGTCTCTATACCACTCTCTTCTATCATGATGATTGGTGGTGCCTAGCAACAGACTGGAGGCTGATATCTGTAACCCAGTTCAATCATAGCACTTAGTAGGATGCACCATGTGGTAATGCTATGTTTATACCATCGATGATTGCTTGTGCTAGTTCATGATCATTGCTCTCAAAGCAATGTGCAGCAACCTCAAAGCATACTAAATCTCTTTTACATCCTTCGAAGTTGGTACCCTATCCCAAAATTCTTCCTTTTTTGGGAAGAATTCGCGGTTTTCCGTCATACTCGCTTTTCCATTTTGGTTTGTCCTTTTTCAAAGACTGATTATGACCTAGTGAACTCTGGTACCCTGTAAATTCTTGCAAAGGCTGCCTGAAGGGTGGTGCAGGGTACACACACACCTGCCCATGGGGGGCCTCTGGGCAACTCAGCTTCCTCTTGTGCTTCCTCTTAGCTCTTGAAAATCATGCAGCTCCACTCCTCCCCCTTGCCTCTCCACCCACCACGTGGCTCCGCTTCCTCAGTGCCCACTTGGGTCTGAGCCCCCTCAGGCCGCCCACTCTCTAAACCAGATCCAAGCCTGAGTGTCCCCTTCATCCCAGCCCCGGCCCTGCCAGGTCGGGGTTGGCCACCTGCCTCGCGGCTGTAACAGCCTAGTGTCCTGGCGAGTCCCCACCAGCAGTGCTGCCTCCGAACCCGCTTGTTTTTTAAAAAAAAAATTTTTTTTGAGGCAGAGTCTCACTCTGTCACCCAGACTGGAGTGCAGTGGCCGCTCCCAGCCACCGCAGCCTCGACCTGCTGGGCTCCAGCGATCCTTCCGCCTCAGCCTTCTGAGTAGCTGGAATTACAGGCATGCACTACCACACCTGGCTGATTTTTTTTTTTTTTAATTGTAGAGATGAGGTCTTGCTGCCCAGGTGGGTCTCGAACCCACTGGCTCAGGCAATCCACTCACCTCAGCCACCCAAAGGCGCGGGATTACAGGCTGAGCCACCGAGCCTGGCTTGTCTTTTAAAATTTTATTTTATTTTTATAAATTAAAATAGTAGCTATAGCTTTATAAATGAGTGACTTTCTATTTAAATGTCACCTACATGCAACATTTTGTCATATATATGAGATAATAAAAAACAAAATGTAAAAGGTATTTTCTTGCTTTTATGAAACTTACCATTGGTTGTGGAACTGGGGGGAATACTCAAGCTTATGTCATAACAAACATGATAACTAAAAGTACCACTGCCTCTCAGAATGCAATTTATATAAAATTGAGATATTTACTTATTTATTTATTTATTTTAAAAACATGAGTTTCTTAGTTGTTAGAGCAAACTTCACTAATACCCAAGAAATAGATTATGGTTCTTTATGCCAACGTAATTTTCATTCTCATGAGATATAAGTGATTAATGATAATTTTTAAGTCAAGATTAACTTATAATTCTGTTAGTAACAATAACAAAGATACTAATTTTTAAGTAATAAACACTGATTTCTCAGTCACCCTACCTGTGTATCATTGCTCCACAGTGTCAGCCAGGGACCCATGTCATGGAGGCTCCATGGATCTGCAATGGCATCACCTGGAACATGCAGTCAGAACAAGATTAAGATAGAAACCAGGACACAAAAGTGGCCACAGAAAATATAAAATGTTTCAGTGCTACTTTTAAACTGATGATGTAAAACTGACCAAACTATTGCCTAAGGAAGCAGGGAAAGGTGGGAGAATTATGGAGGCATGAGTGTAACTTAGTGAAAGTTTATAATTGAGCAGCACCATCTATTAACTTTATGTTCTCACCTGCCTCATGGCTGCTGGGTAACATGACCCTGACACAGTTTTACCTCTATTAGTCTGTGGAAGACTTTCTCATGTGGTCTGCCTGGATAAAACACACACACACACAAAAGGTAATTAATTATAAACTCCTAAAATTCAGTGACATTCCATGAAAATTTTCTCCATGGGCTTATGCTAAAGATGATATATTAAATTTATTTTTATCATTCACAATGACAGTTGCTAATACTCAGCTTATCTGCCCAAATTTGCAGAGATTTGTGACTATCTTCCCCATAAGATAGTATTATAAGAAGTTATGTACCACATCTTTTTGAATCATTGTTTTACTTGCTTAGGGCTTAAATATAAGATAAATTCAATAATAGTTATAGGACAGACTTGAAACTATAAGTGCTTAGGCAAGTTGTAGAATGTATAATTGTAATTCACATTTTTCTTATTTAAATATTCTTGTTGGAGTCAACTGGTGAGAGAGGAGATAGAAGCTGGTTAGGCAGAATGAGAGGGAGGGTCTCAAGAAGACTTAACACATGTAGGAATGTCCCCCGCACCATGCCCATTATATAATTGTTGACTGAAAATGTGGTTAGTGTGGTTAAGAACATCCTGTCAACCCAGGATGTACTGCCAAAAGGGACTTTTTGCTGCTTAAACGCAGGCACAGTGGCTTAATTAAATGTCTTAACTTGATCTTGGCTTATTATAATATCATTAATATAAAATTTGCATTGTAGTTTTACCCCTCTGAGTGACTTTTTCTGTGGTACTTATGGGTAGTAGTAAGGATGGAGTAACTTTGGTCAAGGACCCGCATGCCCAGTAAGGATTGGATCTCAGGAAGTAAGGAGCAGATGAGATGTAAATGAGAGAAATGCCTCCAGAAAAGATAAGATAAAATCCATAGGCCCGGCTCCGTGGCTCAGCCTGTAATCCCAGCACTTTGGGAGGATGAGGCCAGTGGATTGCCTGAGCCTGCAGGTTTGAGACCAGCTTGGGCAACTTGGCGAGACCTCATCTCTACAATAAATAAAAAATTAACCAGATATGGTAGCTGTGCGCCTGTAGTTCTGGCTACTTGGAAGGCTGAGGGGAAGGATCGCCAGAACCCAGCAGGTCAACGCTGGGGTGGCCATGAATGTGCCACGGCACTCCAGCCTGGGCAACAGAGTGAGACTCCAAGAAAAAAAAGAAAAAAAGAACAAAGATCAAACCCACAAAACAACCCTCCTAACAGCGGATAACCCATTTCAGGACCCCTCTCTGTTTCTAGAGAGCTTTGTTGCTTAATAAACTCCTTCTTTCACTCATCCTTTTGTCCGAGTTCCTTAATCTTCTTGGTCGTGGGACAAGAACCTGAGGTTGCTGGTTTAAACTGACAGTGGAGCTCAAAACTCCTGCATCACTGGGATAGGAATAAGAGTGTGGTGTTGAATGCCTGCCTGATACTAAAGCATTACCATCCCCCAAGGGTTACTGTTATGTAAGTTCCTGTAATTCGACCTTTGTTTCCTTGCACTTCTAAAAAATTTAACTTTCGTTTCTCACTCTAGTCTTTTGCGGAAATTCATTTGTGGAGACCAGCTCTCTTGCTTGATGAGTGAATATTGTCCACAGCTGCTCCTGTCCTGCCTTCTCTCTTCTCTGCTGATTCAAGATTCCTCACTTTGGCCTGAAGGTGTGTTGGGGCAATGTGGGAGCAAAGAATAGGAGGCTTTGGGAAGGACAGTTTGAATGTGTTTGGGTGAGTTTAATTTGTGGTTCTGAAGATGCTCTGAATAAACAAAAAGAACCAGCTTGTAGGTTGTCTGCTCAGATGACAGAGAAGGGAAACATTGAGTCTTGAAGTGGAGTGACTGCTACAGAAGGGAAGTTTGTAAAAGCAAAAAAGCCTTGTTTGTTTCCTGGAAGGACCATTTATTTCTTTGGCCTGAGTTACCCCATTTTGTTTTCTATTCTGTACTTTTGATTTTTTTTTTCACCTTGCCAACATGAATCAGAATACTCTTCTTATTCAGAGGCAGAAAGTCCCTTCCTCCCAGAGAAGCCTGTGAAATGGAGCTTTGTTTTTGTTTTTCGTAAAAGGAAATGGTACATCTGGCAAGGGTGAGAGTCATTGTCTGACCCTGTGTGTGGGTGGAAGGGGTTTTGGGAACTTTGCCAGAGTAAGACCCTTTTGAAACTTATCCTTTTACTCTCCTCCTGGTAATTTCTGGGATGATGTCTACAGCCTTCCTGATAAGTTACCAGCCCTAATGTAAGTCTGATGAGAGAGGCTGCTGGATGGTCAGACTGCTGTCCATTTTTGCAACCCTCCTTTGGTCACTTGTCTCTCTGAAGGTTCAGTCACAGGAAACTTGCTCTTCCCTGAATACCATAGTTGACTTTTACCTCAATAGTACCCCATGACCCTTTGGTGACCTCTCCTGCTTTAGAAATTGTTCTTTGCTTTTTTAGCACACCTTTTCATTGTTTATTACTTGAACTCCTTACTCAATTTTCCCTTGCACAGAACGAAGGCAAAGAGATGGTAATTATTCATAGAATTTTATCTTAATCTTGTCTTTGAGCACTTTGTACTTTGATATGTGTTAGGGTAAAAATCCCAGCGGGGCCTCCAAAATGTTAGGTCAGACCCATTGGGAATGTCTGCAATCCAGTGCTGCATGAAAGATGCAAAGAATTGCACAGAAGTTAGATTGGAAAATACAGTTTATGTAAAAAGTAAATTAGAGAGAGAAAGAGAATAAAGAGATTTGCTTTCCCAAGGTAGGGGAGAGCCAAAGCTAAGAAAAAACATGGCAGTCACAACTCAAAGAGCACATGACCTGGCCAGTGCTTAACAAAACAGTGGCAGCTGCTGTTTGAAGCTGAATGCCTTTTAAACCTTCCCTTTGACGTGAAGGGTGGGGGCACACGTCACATGGGGGGGGCAGGTCATTAAGGTGATTGGATGGTGGTCTGTTCCACATCATCACCAAGGGGCAGGTGAACATAGGTACTGATGTCAGGTGATGGAGAGCAGGCAGATGGGTGGATTAGTCACATGACTGCTGCCATGTTGATGGGGTTCTGTGATGGAGGTCACAAAGGGCTGATTAGGATAACTTGTTTACAAAACAAGCTGGGGAGGGGGTTGTAAAGCAATTATCACTAGCTACCTCTGAGAAACCCGCCCTTGACTGGTGATTAGGAGGTAAATTAAAGTGAATTGTAAGAGAAACATGATAAAGCTAAGCAATGTTAAAATAGTTGCTCATTGGGTATATTAACTCCATGTTATGTCCTTTCAATACCTATGTTACATATATTCTCATGTATACTTTCCTTTCTTCCACTTTTCAGAGGTCAAGGTAACTTACCATGTATCTATGCCTTACACCTGGACAAAGTCCATATCTACTATTTATTGATTATCTACTAAAGGCTATTACAGGGTCCAATAAATAGGAGAAGATGTATTTTTAATTTTTTAAAAGGTATTTTTGATTAAATGCATGAGACTAAAGGCATACAATTATAGTAAAAATTATATTTATATTTTCAGTATACAATATACAATATATATTAAGTACCTACAAGAGGTTATATTTTGGGCCAGGGGAGAGAAACAAATAGTAAAAAAGTAACATAGTATGCAAAAAGAAGACAATTACTGTGGGATAAATATGATAAATGTAAAACAAACAAACTTAGTATCTGTAATGCCCTTGTCAAGGACTTTGCAATTTAAAAAAAAATTCAGATGAGGTCTCATTGTGGGAAAGTGATTTTGAGTAGAATCTTCAGTAAAATGATGAATTCAAGAAGGGTTTTTGCCCACAGGGATTAAGGACCATAAAAGAGACTAGTGTGCGTTGGAGAGGAGTATGCAAAAAGAGAAATAGGAGTGAGTTCAGCTGAGGCGAGGAGGGGATACTTAGTATGGACCTAATAGACAAGGTTAAAGACTGACTCACTCTGGATGTCAAGGGTTTGAGCACAGGATTGACATAATCGATGTCTGCTTTGAGGGGATCCCTCCGACCAATAATGTAAAAAGAGTGATGGGAATGGGTTGTGAGTCCAGTGGCAGTATCAGGGAGAGATGTAGGGAAACTGCCTAGAATCCAGATAAAAAACTCAGGTGACCAGTACCTAATTTGAAGAGAGTGCCTAGAGGATTTTCTGATGAATGGTGAGAGAAAGTGATAAGACTAGGGGTAGCTTTATAAATATGATTCTCTGTTACAAAATGACCAGAAAATTAGAGTTCTTGGGGAAAGGGTCATTAATGAGGAGAAGATTAAACTCTGGATTTGAAGAGGTCATTGAAAAGGGAGCTCTGAGTTTAGAGTAATAAAGAATAGTATCAATGTTTCTGAGTTCCCATATCTCTGGAATCCAAGACCTGTTTTCTCCATTGGCAGCTCCTGACCCAGGGACCAGGGGAAATTTAAAAGTTGTTGGCTTAACCCTTCATAGCACTTTTTTCCCTATTGTGAAGACACTTTTTTTTTTTTTTTGGTCTAAACTGTACAAGTACAGAAAATCTCTGTGCAGATAATCAGAACATACTGAGATGAGGAAGCTAAGAACGTAGTTATCCCTCACCCAATTGTAAAAACTTCTACATTTGTACCACTTTCAAAAGGGTGCATGCATTTTGTCTATATGTCTATCTGTCTTAGCTTGGAAGTGTTTCAATGGTGTAATACCTTTTCAATGTTAAGATAAAGATTGAATGAAGAAAAAATAGGCAATTGTGTTAGTTTTTTACAGCTGTCATTTAAAAAGTACCAAAACTGCGTGGCTTATATAACAGAAATTTATTGTGTTACAATTATAGAAACTAGATATCCAAGACAAAAGGTGTTGGCAGGGTTGGTTTGTTCTAAGAGCTATGAAGTAAGGGTCTGTTCCAATGCCTCTCTCCAAGCTTTTAGCAGTTTTCCGAACAAGCTTGGCATTCCTTGGCTTATAGGCACATCTCCCTGATTTCTGTTTTCTGTTTCGACAGATATTCTTCTCGTGTGCAAATTTTCCCTTCTTATAAGACACAGTCATATTGGATTGGGACTCTCCCTAATGACCAGATCTTGCCTCAATAATTTGTCAAGATGCTATTTCTAAATAAGAGCACATTCACACATACTGGGGATTAGGACTTCAACATCTTTTTGGAAGAAACAATTCAACCCATAATAGAACTCAGTGTATTTGAAACAGGACACACTTCATCTCTCTAATATATATGTGTGTCTGTGTGTGTGTGTATACTGCCCCCGTCAAAGGGAAGGTTTAAAAGTCATTCAACTTCAAACAGCAGTTGCCACTGTTTTGTTAAGCACTGGCCAGGGCATGTGCTCTTTGAGCTGTGACTGCCATGTTTTTTCTTAGCTTTGGCTCTCCCCTACCTTGGGAAGGCAAATCTCTTAATTCTCTTTCTCTATTTCTCTCTCTAATTTACTTTTTACACACACACATACATATGTGTGCGTGTATATACACACACACATACATACATACATACATGAGAAGGGACCCAAAAAACTTCAGAATTATCTTTTTGGAGAGTGGGTCCCTTGTAGTACACTTGAAATTCATTCCTCTGTCTCAAACTGTCAACCAAAGTTTTTATCTGAAAGTTTTGAGAAATTTGCATCATGATTTGTGAAAGAAATGTCCTGTTGTGGCAAACAGGTGACTTGTTCTTCCATTATGACAATGTACCTGCCCATACCATGCTGAGTGTTTGGCAGTTAGTTTTTGACCCAAAACAGCATGGCCCCTGAGCCCAACCCTCTGTATTGACAGGATCACCTTGAGTGACTTTTGTTTTGTTTAGTTTTCATGGATGAAAAAAGTCCTCATAGGGAAATATATTGCTAATGTGGAAGAGATGAAACAAAAAATGGCAGAAGCACTAAAAGACATCTAATTGATGTGTTCAGAAACTGTTTTGAGAGTGCAAAAAGCATCTTGATAGGTGTATTGCATCAAATGGAGAGTACTTTATAGGTGACTGAAGTTTAAACATGTAAGAATAAAAACAATTTTTTATAAAAATTGTTCCCCCTCATATTTGGTCTCCTTTATATATTAAGACTTTTCTCCCATGACCAACAGATGTTTTATTTAAGTTTATACTCATTGGATCTTTGTCATGTATATGATTCTACTAATACTTGAACCTCTTTTCCTCCTTCCTACAAACACATACCTCCAGGTTGCTATTATCATCCTTCCCATGTTCAGATTGAGGTGAGATGATTACATTATACACTTAAAACAAGTGTGTTTTTAATTCTGGCTACTCGGAAGGCTGAGGCGGAAGGATCACCGGAGCCCAGTAGTCAAGGCTGCAGTGGCCAGGAGCGGCCAGAGTGAGACTCCAGCTCAACAAAACAAAACAAAACAAAACAAACAACAAAAAAAACCCACAAGTGTGTTTGATGGAATGTAAACACAACTCAATAGCTTTCAAAATAATGAGTCACACAAATATTAGGGATAGAATTAGGCCATTTATAGAGAAGAGCACAAGCACAAGCCCAGGGACAGGAGTGTGTTTAGTGCATTTAACATGCAGGATGTGTTTTGGATTGGAGAAAAAAAGGCAGGGCAAATGATGGGTTCGTATTTGGGATGGCCTCAGTTTGTTCCTTCCTCTAGTAGAAGAAGAGAAAATAACGATCATTGCCCCAATGGGGTGGAGTTTGTCATGAGACATAAATTAAGAGAAAGTGTTTGAAATTGTTACAAAGTCCTTTTTGTTCTGTCACTGGCCTATTCTTCATGTCTCTCTCCTTTCCTTTCTTTGTTAAATATTAATGTTTTGCCCTGTTCTAAATCTCTGTAAAATCAATATTCTTTTTATTCCTTCTTTTCTTATGCTTCCCCCTTTAACATTCCCAGCCCTGTAGGAGTTTGTGGCCAAGAAAAACTTCAAGGCCAGGACAAAAAGAAGCTGAGAGAGCAGTGCGATGGATTTGTCAGTACAGGTGGGCATACAGAAGGAGGTGACTTGCCCCATCTGCCTGGAGCTCCTGACAGAACCTCTGAGCCTAGACTGTGGCCATAGCTTCTGCCAAGCCTGCATCACTGCAAAGAACACACAATCGGTGACCAACCCAAGAGGGGAAATCAGATGTCCTGTGTGTCAGACCAGATTCCAGCTTGGGAATCTCCGACCTAATCAGCATCTGGCTAACATAGTCGAGAGAGTCAGGAAAGTCAAGATGAGCCCTCAAGCGGGGCAGAAGAGAGATCTTTGTGTGCACCATGGAAAAGAACTACGGCTCTTTTGTAAGGAGGATGGAAAAGTCATTTGCTTTGTTTGTGAGATGTCTCAGGAACACCAGGGTCACCAAATATTCCTTATACGTGAGGTCGTCAAAGAATGTCAGGTAGGTCCCAAGGTGGAGAAAGATAAGGCAGAAGATGATGGTACCTGATATGAAATCTCTATTTTTTTATTCTACTTTGTTCTCTTTGCCTAACTTCTGTGGCCTGTAGGACATTGCTGTATATTCCTTTTATGAATGTATAATTGCTTTCTAAGATAAGTTCTGATTGACCCTTTGAGCAGAAGAGTGTCTTGGAAACATGTCTGGTTAGATGTGGGAAGGGTATCAATGAGAAGAAAGAACTTTTCTTGCTGCAGGGTTGGCCCTTTCTCTAGAAAAACAGAGAACAGGCTACTCTTAATAAGAGGATGGTGACTTTCGTTACCCTTATAAAGAATACATTTAACTCCTAATATTTCCTTCTGTGTTACAGATTTTAATAACAAGAATCACACTTTCCGTAAACTGGTCCCTACTGAGATCAACGTGATTTCTTCCCTGTTTATCTTCTATCTCGGTGCTGAGAAAACTCATAGCTTGACTTTGATGTGATATTTTTTCTCACAGGAGAAGCTCCAGAACGCTCTGGCAAGGCTGATAAAGGAGCGTCAGGAAGCTGAGAAACTGGAAGTTGACCTCAAAGAAGAGAAAGTTACCTGGAAGGCAGGAGGAGACTCTTCCTAGGGGATTCTGGGGCAGGAATCTGGGCAGGACCTTGGGCTCTGTTGCAAGAGACTCCCTCTTCTTTGCTACCTCTGAATTAATGAGTATAGAAGCCATTTGATTAGGCCTCATTTTAGTCCTTCCCTGTTGGGATTTGGGAATTGGAGAGTAGACATATCACACTGCAACAAAATATTTGGAAGAAAAGGCATAGAGGGAAGCAACTGTGAAAATGATTCCTGTGAATTCTGTGTCCTGTTTCTGACATTAGGTTTGAAGCTCTGATATTTTGGGGAAACACACTAGGAAAAAACCCAGGGTTCCCTATTCAGAGGATTTTGGTAGAGGGGCTTAATACACGGAGTGGCATAGTTGTCCAGGATAGGCACCTACAATCCAAGCCTCACCCAGATATCACATTTTATCTCAATATGGGCCTCTATGAAAGACTTGAGTATATTTCTTTGAAGGAGATCAAGGTAAAAAAGCAGGAAAAATGGCTTCACTAGGAATTGCTCATATACTTTTACCTCCCATTCCTTTTGAGAACTTCCTGGGGAAAATAGTTCTTATCTGGCTTCTAAGATCATACAAAGCAGACTCTCAGCCAAATAGACTGCCTCTTTCTCTTCCTATCCCCAAAGAATTATATCCAGACTGAGAGACAGAAGATTCTGAAAGGATTTAAAGAAATGAGAGTCATTTTGGACAGTGAGGAGCAGAGGGAACTTCAAAAGCTGGAGGAAGATGAGGTAAAAGTGCTGGATAACCTGGGAGCAGCAAAAGACCAGCTAGTCCGACAGAGTCAGCCTGTGAGAGAGCTCATTTTAGAGCTCCAGAGACGGTTGCATGGGTCATCAGTAGAGATGCTGCAGGTAAGACTTGGGATGGAGTGCCCACATATGAGTTGTGGGGAAAGACACAGAGGCTAATTTTCCTTCCCTTGTGTATCCTAGGCTTTTTTTTTTTTTGGTGAGGACATTAAATGGTTCCTTTGGCCCAACAATGCCCTCTCTCTATGCCAATCATTTTAGGGGCAAGGGAATGGCAAGGGAAATGTTCATTATTATGAATTTGTGTAAAAATTTGAGCTTGGAGAGAAGAGTCTTGTATCTAGTATTTTCCTATGGACTCTTGTTACCTCTGATTTAGTGTTGCACCTTAGTAAGGTGTCTTCACTACGTTTAGCCATAGGAACTTTATTTATGTTTAATTATTTTCTGTCATTGTTGTTGGCGGGTGACAAATATGAAGCTAGACTATGTCATATCTGAGTGAGGGTTGTGCATGTGCGTGTGTGTGTGTGTGTGTGTGTGTGTGTGTATGTGTGTGTATTGGCAAGAATGTGAGAGCAAACCTGTAGACACCTGATGGAAGAATTGGTCATAATATGAAAGTTAAAATGTTTTTTCATGGTGTTAATAGTATGATTTGAGCCCTGGAAAATGTTGGGAAGTTAAGGAAATCTCAGTTTTTTTTCTGCTTGACTTCTTGTCATTCTCCTTTCCTTCTTTTGCCAATTAAACGGGAATGTGTTCAAGTTTGATTTCAATACTGTGGTAATTAATTTTAATCTTCTAGCTCTTTCCCCTTGCTTACAAAAAGGTTTCTTGAGGTATAGTTTAGTTTACATGAATAAAATCTACCTTTTGAAAGTATATAATTTTTAGTAAATATATTGAGTTATTAAACCATGAGCAAATTCAGTTTTAAAACCTTTTTATCACATCAAAAACATTCCTCATGCCTGTTTTCAGTCAATACTCATTTTTACTACAATCTCCTGGCCACTACTCAGTTGTTTTCTGTCTGTATAGATTTGGCTTTTCTGAACTTGCCTACTGAATTATATAACTAAATATAGTTTTACCTCTTTTTCATGTTAGACATTCTAGTTCTTTTTATTTTTTATTTCACTATTGAATTGTAAGAATTCTTATTGAGCCTCGATATTGATACCTTATTAGATACTTGATTTGTAAATATGTTTTCCCATTCTGTGGGTTGTCTCTTCACTGTCTTCATGTGCTTTGATGCATGCATTTAAAAAATTTTTTTTACTTTGATCAAATCCAATTTATCTACTTTTTTTTCCTATATTACCTTTACTTTTAGTGTCATATTCAAAATATCATTACCAAATCCAATGCCATGAGATTTTCCAGTTTCTCCTAGAAGTTTTAGCTATTAAGTTGTGGTTTTTAAATTCATTTTCAGTTATATCGTATATTTAGTGTAAGCCATACATTTTTTTTTTTTTTTTTTTTTTTGAGTTGGTGTCTCACTCCGTCGCCCAGACTGGAGTGCAGTGGCCGCTCTCGGCCACGGCAGTCTCGACCTGCTGGGCTCCAGCGATCCTTCCGCCTCAGTCTTCCAAGTAGCCGGAATTACAGGCATGCGCTACCACGCCCGGCTGATTTTTTGATTTATTGTAGAGATGAGGTCTCGCAGCCCAGACGGGTCTTGAACCCTCGGGCTCAGGCAATCCACTCACCTCAGCCTCCCAAAGGCGCGGGATTACAGGCTGAGCCACCGAGCCCAGCTAGCCATACATTTTTTAAAGTTAAGAGTTTGATAATACGGGTGAAGAGATGGCAGTCAGCGAAGAAATGAACTGTAGAGACAATATTTACTTGTCTGGCCAGCCTCCATTTTCTTTGTTTATTTATAACAACCCCCCCTTTTTTGGGGGGGGCGGTCTCACTCTGTCATCCAGACTGGAGTACAGTGGCTCCTCCTGGCCACCGCAACCTCGACCTGCTGGGTGGCTGCAATCCTTCCCCCTCGGCCTTCCAAGTAGCTGGAACTACAGGCACGTGCTACCATGCCTGGCTAATTTTTTGATTTATTGTAGAGATGAGGTCTCGCCAAGTTGCCCAGGTGGGTCTCGAACCCGCGGGCTCAGGCAGTCCACTCACCTCAGCCTCCCAAAGCGCCGGATTACAGGCTGAGCCACGGAGCCCAGCTTTTTTTAAATTTTTTAATTTCAAAAAGTTTTGAGCAAACAACAATTCATGAACCAGGCAGCTCCAAACCAGAAATGGTTCAGAAGCTCCACAAAGGAAACCCTAGGGGGAGGCTTTTATAGGATGAACACAGAAGTAAAACAAAGAAATAGCTAAATAGTCATAGTTATACAGTTGCCTTACTAGGTCTTTCCCATTAGAAAGTCCCTAGTTTTATAATTATAAGTTTGTTGGCTATTTCTGACTGGTTGAGCATAAGTTCTGTTTTTCTTTCATATAGGAACTTACCAGAAATAGCTCAAGTCAAGTTTCACTTATGTTTGCCAATCAAACAAGGTTTAGGTCACATGTAAGACCTCATTGGCTTTGTCAGCTCAGGTATTCTTCAGGCCTGTTCTCTATTTCATTTTACTTTAACAATTCCCCCCTTTTGGGCATCCTCTCAGTAAGTTGAGACTGGTCAAACAGAACAGCATTCTTGTTACCACTATTGATATAATCACTCTATCATCCCCAACAGTTGCTCTGAGATGTAAGGTCACATAGTTACTGTTATCTGAAATTACGTAGTCACTGTAGGGTTGAGTGCTTGAGTTATTAAGTTTTCCAAGTTGTCTGGCCCTGATGGCAATCATCTGATGTGTGAATGACTGCTGGGAATCAGTTAAAACTCTTGAGAGGATATAACTCTCAAGGGAAGTAAATGCAATGACTACAAGGACAGGAATAGCCAAGGACTGGGAAGTTCCCCCAGAGGAGAGAGCCCCAGGAACCAAGATTTAACCAATTAAACAAATCGTTGGAAGGGGCAGCACCCACCTAATGAGATACTTGTCTTTGTTTCTTTTTTTAAAAGAATCTTATTTTAAATAGGGTATAATTCAGGATTAGATATATAAATGTTCGTTATGCAGGTACCCTTGTTAATGAGGTGAACCCCCCCCCCATCCCCTGGCAGTTTCCCACTACTACCAATCCCTTTGAGGAATCATTCTTACCCTGTTTCATTTCATGTAGTTGGTTAAAGCTGATAAAATTGGTAGCATCAGTGACACATGTGTTACTCAATTCTAGATAAATTAGTATATCCGATTTTTGTATTTTTATCAACCCTACAGTAGTTATTTTAAGATATGCACACTTGACTCAATTCAAGCCAATGGTTTGAAGGCCTTTGAATTTTACTGTCATGACTAGAAAAAAGTATCCTTTCCGGTACATATTATACAAGGGATGATATGTTAAGCCAGAAGATTCAAGTTGATGCTACATAGAATCAGAAAAAAAGTCAACAAAGCAGGTAGAAAATAGAATTTTTAGAAGAAAGGCCAGACTCTGAAGGCAAGATTTTTAGCCTAAAAACCTAGCTAGAAGTAAAGTTATTCCTGAGCCCCTGAATTTATTTATTTTTAAAAAATTTAAACCAGTTTTAGTTGGATTTTTTGTCATACAGAGTAACAATAACAACAAAAAAAAAGGTAATACAGAGAGTAAAACTATTTGTGAGGGTATCAAGCCAACTGGAGGCCATATCTTTGTTGGTATTAAAGCAATCAGGTCAGAGACAGGTAGACCAAATATATCGGTACCTTCTTTTTCAAAGAAATAGAGAAAATATTGGGTATAATGGAGAAGAGAAGATGGCTAAAAAAATTTAAAATGTGAGTTGGATTAGCTTAATAAAATATTGGAATTCAGGATATGATTGTACGGTTTATAAGATGGTAATTAAGTGTATATTGACATTCTTAAGGGCAGTGAAGTATAAATAGTTGGGAAAAAATAAGTTACATTTTAGATCCACTCAGTTACTTGTTCCTATGGCTTATTTTATATGGAAAAATGGGTAGCATCACGCACAGGTAGTGTTTAGGTAATGCATAGAGTGAGTATGGGAGGCCAGATAAACTTTTACTTGAAGTACTTGCTTATACTCGTAGCAAAAGAAGGTATACTTCTTAAGGACTATTATTAATTATTCACTTTTGGTTTCCTAAAATTTGGAAAAGTATCTAGCTAACAGTAGATTTTACTTTTATATATCTGTTGACATGTAAAATAAAAACACAATAAATTAATGAGATTATCTTATTTTAAAATGTTTAAAGATAGACTTCTTTCCTCCTTTTAAAATATACTCTATCTCCAGATATTTGAAGCATCTTCCTAACATCCTCACATAAGTCCTCTATGATTGTCAGTTTGAATATCTACATTTTTGTCCCCTACTCTGTGATCATCTATTCCCATCATATAAATGGGGTAGTAAGAGTGTGAGAAGGAAGATGAATACAAATTTGTAAGGTAGAAGAGTCTATCACTCTTTTGAAGGTTGCTAGACAAAATACAGGATGCTCAGTTAAATTAAAATTTCAGATAAATGACATAGCATTTTTAGTATAAGGGTATTTTAAATATTGCAAAGATCTTACTTATAACAAAAATATTTGTCATTTATTCAAGACTCAGATTTAACTGGTCATTTTTAATGATCCAAATCTGACAATCCTATATTTGACTGATGTTTTCTATCTTTTTTCCAGGATGTGATTGATGTAATGAGAAGGTATGTGTGAAAGATCAGGTATGGTCCTATTTGTGTAAAGAAAGAATTATAGCCATGAGAGCTATCTTTGGATCAATCAGAATAAAATTAAAAATCACAGAGCTGGAAAATTTGTGTATTAAATCATCCTCAAGTCATTTCAAATTCCTGATCACAGATGGTTTTCGGTGGTAAGGGAATTTGGATGATGAGAAGTTACAGAGTTAGGATCAATAGAGGCCTGTGAATAAGAAGTTGCAATATCAGAACCCCGTGACTTCATTTATTTTAATCAAACCTCTGTCTCTGTTGTTTCCACATTGCTTGAAGGGTCCGGTCCTGTTATTATGCCATACCCCAAATTTTCCACATAGATAGTTCCTTTATATTTTTTTCCCCTGAGAATAGAAGAAACAATATCATTCTAAGTGATTATTTTTAGATTTCCCCAAAATTGACTCAAGTCTTAGAGAATAGTGAAATTGCTCCTGGTGCCAATATAATCACATCTTGCTCACATATTTTAGTATTTTGTAGGGAAAATGATGTTCTTGTGTCTAAAGTTGCCCACTCACTTGGCAGCTTCAAAGTCTTCCTAGACACATGAAATTTGGACCATTGTTAATTTGGTGAGGTGTTATTCTCTGGGCATCATACTGGGACAACAGGCTTTGGAAGTCCTTCATCAGTACAGGAGCCCACACTTGATATCCCCCAACCATTCAGTAGTCATGTTCTTCAGCCTCCATAATGACTACTCACCTAAGAACCCACATCTCTGGCCTCTTCCTGGTGGACCCATTGAGATGGCATTGACTCTTCCAAATACTACTTGTGTTTTTTAGAGGCATCAAATACCTTTTAAAAGCCAATGATTTCATCTAATTTCATATTATTTTTAAGAAGAAGAAAGCATGGGGTTAGACACTGTTAGGTGTCTCCCCTCTACTCTCCTCAGGGAAGAGGGTCCAAGTGCATCAGTGGAGTGAAAAGGTGAAAGAGACAGAGATCTTTGAGAGACACTAAGGCAAAGGTGTAGGGCCAATGAATTATTGTTATCCCTAGGAGTGAGAGCTGGACCTTGAAAAAGCCGAAATCAGTTTCCAAGAAACTGAAGAGTGTATTCCGAGCTCCAGATCTGAGTGGGATGCTGCAGGTTTTTAAAGGTGAGGAGATCTAAGGGAAAGATGTGTATGTGTGTAATTCTTGTAGTATCAAGGCCAATGGGAGAGTGAGGGCTGTTTCTAGGTGAGGATAAAGGCAAGGAGGTAGGCCAGAGAAGGAGGGAATTCTTGTGCTTTATTTATTTATTTATTTATTTATTTATTTATTTATTTTGAGTTGGGAGTCTCACTGTCGCCTAGACTGGAGTGCAGTGGCTGCTCCCGGCCACTGCAGCCTCGACCTGCTGGGCTCCAGCAAGCCTTCCGCCTCAGCCTTCCACGTAGCTGGAGCTACAGGCACGCGCTACCACACCTGGCTAATTTTTTGATTTATTGTAGAGATGAGGTCTCGCCTGCCCAGTCGGGTCTCGAACCTGCAGGCTCAGGCAATCCACTCACCTCAGCCTCCCAAAGGCACGGGATTACAGGCTGAGCCACCGAGCCCGGCACTCTTGTGCTTTAGACGTGGTCATATCTAAAGCAGAATGGCCAGGTGTCTAGTTCAACCTCTCATTCACCAATGTATAGCCTTTCAGTACTCCTCTCCCCTATCTCCACTGTAGAGAAGAGATAGGTGTCAGTGCTTACTCTTTTGCTTCTAACAACAGCATTATTGAAATTTTTGTCATTTCAGAGCTGACAGAAGTCCAGTGCTACTGGGGTAAGATGATGTTACCAAATCACCTTCTTTTGATCCCTTTTCAGAAGTTGTGGCTACTATTAGGTCTCATGATCTGGACCCCTGTGTCCCTCCTCAGACATAGATACTTCTAACAGCTCTTAAATGTTCTGTTTGTCCCTAACTTATTAATACAAGTTCTTTCCCATCCATTTCCAAGATCACTCCTCGCAATGTCACAAAACACACCTATCCCATATCTCTTACATGACTGTCATTTTTTCTACAGAGGACGTGATGCTGAATCCAGGCAGTGCTATTTCGAATGTTGCTGTTTCTAAGGATCAGAGACAAGTGATGGTTTCGCACACTTATTCAAATTCAAATTCACCTGATTTTTCTACTTTTGGTGTCTTGGGCTGCCAATATTTCTTCTCAGGGAAATATTACTGGGAGGTAGATGTATCTGGAAAGATTGCCTGGATCCTAGGACTACACAGTACAAGAAGTAACCCCAATCAAAAAAAGAGCCCTGGTTTTGTTTTTGATCCAAATGTAAATCATTCAAATGTTTACTCCAGATACAGGCCTCAATATGGCTACTGGGTTATAGGGTTACAGAATGAATTTGAGTATAATGCTTTTGAGGATTCTTCTTCCTCTCATCCCAAGATTTTGACTCTCTCCATGGCTGTGCCTCCCCATCGTATTGGTGTTTTCCTAGACTATGAGGCAGGCATTGTCTCATTTTTCAATGTCACAAACCATGGAGCCCTCATCTACAAGTTCTCTAAATGTTGCTTTACTCAGCCTGTTTATCCATATTTCAATCCTTGGAACTGCCCAGGCCCCATGACCCTGTGTCCACCAAACTCTTGAACTTTCTTATTCCCTACTCACTTCTGTGTAGTACCCCTTGTCCTGAGGCTCAGATCCTGCACCTGAGTTCATCTCTACCTTCCTATCTCTTCCTTTCTCCCCTTCTTTTATTTAGAATGTTTTTGGATTAGTTTTCTAGGACTGCCATAACAAAGCATCATAAACTGGTGATTTAAACAACAGAAATTTATTGTTGCACAGTTCTGGGGGCTAGAAATCCAAAACCAAGGTGTTGCCAGAGTTGGCTTTCTGAGGTATGTAAGGAAAGGATCTGTTCCTTGGCTTGTAGATAGCATCTTCTCCCTATATCTCGTCACACTGTCTTTCCACTACACATGTCCCTGTGATCAAATTTATCCTTTATATAAAGACACCGGTCATACTGGCTCAGGGTCCACTCTTAATGAAATCATTTTAACTTTGCATTCTCTACAATGCCTTATCTCCAAATAAGATCATATTCTGAGATATTGGGAGTTAGGACTCCAATCTATAAATCTGAGGAAGACATATTTTAGCTCATAGCATTCTTACTCTTTCCTACAAGGGATGCCTTGTACCTTATTATTCCTAATAACTTGGTTTCACTATTAAACAATGCTTTTTTTTTTTTTTTGTATTTTTAAGGAAGAAAAAAAATCTAATTATTTCTATAGAAAGAACAGTATTGCTGTATCTTCTCTGCTATCCCTTTTTCTTCCTCATTTTCTCTGTCACTTAAAAGATCTGAAAAAGAGAAGCTTGTCAACTCATATCCATGTTATCTAGAAAACTGCATAGGAATCTGTTACTAATAGTGGATACTCCAGGGTATGTTGGTTTACAGTGACATTCCACATTCATCAGAGGATTTAAGCAGGAAGTACATAAAAATATACTTAGAGTGGATTTTTTAATGTCACAAACATGGAGCACTCATCTACAAGTTCTCTAAATGAGGTGAAATTTTATCTCTTCACTTACAAGCCCTATAACTTTGAATAAGTTACTTCATGTCTTTTGGTGTATTTTCCTAAAATAAAAATTGGTGTTTAAGATTGTACCTAGTTCCTCAGATTACTTTGAAAAATAAAATTTTATTAAATGTAAAGTACTTTCTACTAATTTTAAACATAAAAATAAATATTTGTCTCACTATTACTGAAAAAAATGTCAGCTGTGTTATTGTCCTGGTGAAAAATTTTTTGTTTTTGTTTTGGTTACTTTTTGCTTCAATAAAACAATCATGGACTGCTGAAGTTTCATTTTTTCAGGTTCCATAATCTTGCTGCAAGCAGTAAGTTCCTATGAAGTATCTAGTAGAGAGGGCCGTGTCTTAGCTCAGCTGTTCTTATGAGAGACAGACAGACTTTTGCTGTTAAGATCTACTTTCCTTATAAAGAAACACTTGAGTATACCATTGTACTTACCTATGTTACCATCCAATGTACTTTTTTTTCTTTTTAAGTAATTCCAAATTTTTTTTAGATGTTCTTGCTTTGTTGCCCAAGGTGGAATGCAGCGACACAATCATGGTTCACTATAGTCTCAAGCTCCTGAACCCAAACCATCCTTTCACCTCACCCTCCCAAGTAGCTGGGACTACAGGCACATTCCACCACACTAGGCTATTTTTTTTTTTTCTTTTTCGGTAGAGACAAAGTCTCACAATGTTGCCCAGGCTGGTCTCAAACTCCTGGCTTCAAGCAGTCCTGCGTTGTTCTCCCAAAGTTCTGGGATCACAGATGCGAGCCATTCTTTTTTTTTTTTTAAGTCTTTTTTAACACAAAATGAGAAACTACATACTTATTAAACATAAAATGAGGAACTACATAAGACAGCAAATACACAAACTGTTCTTAGAGAAGTTACTGGGATTCTTTGGAGAAACAAAACAAATAAGAGATAATATATTTATTATGATAAATTGACTCATGCGATGATGGATGCTGAGACCTTCCATTGTCTGCCATCTGGAAGCTGGAGACCCACAAAGCTGGTGCAACTCTGAAGTCCTAAGAATCTGGAAACTGATGATGTAAATGCCAGTCCAAGGGTAGGACAATAAATGAGAGATGATCTAGCTCAAACAGTGAGGCAGGAGAAAAGAGCAGATTTCTCCTTTCTTTTTGTTCTAATCAGGTTCTGAATGGATTAGATGATACCCAATAGTCTCAATATATTTAACCATAAATGAGGCAGAAACAGATCATGATACTGGATAATATTAAGTTGAATCACTTTAATAATAAGTATGTTGTTGACATAAAGGAAACATACCATCTCTTTGGTGTAAATGGTGAACATTATAATTGAATGACTAAAAGCTTGCCCTTTGAAAATTTTACATAATAATACAGCCATCTAGTGGTCCTTATCAAATTAATTTCCATGGGATTCAATTTTTTATTTGTATAATAAAAATAATCAAACTTACCTGACAGCATTATTATGAGAATTAAGTATAATATATTTGCAATAACTAATGCTGTTTCCTGGCACGTAAGTACTAAAAGTGGTTTCTGGTTTTTTTTCTTGGATTCTTTTCTCTAACTTGAAATCAATAATTTTAAGAATGCATATTAACTAATTGAAATAATAAGCAACTTTGTTTTAAGAAATAGAATAATTTGAGTAAAAGATCATAGGTCTTAACATTTTAAATTCAATGATAAATATTACATTACTGTAAAATATCTTTGCTCTTATTATCTTCATAACCACCTAGTTTTATTTTATCATTGCAATAGCCTTTGCAATAGTAATAGCCTTTTTAATCTAACTCAACTCTAATTATTATTATTATTATTATTACTATTATTTTTGAGTTGGAGTCTCACTCTGTCGCCCAGACTGGAGTGCAGTGGCTGCTCCCGGCCACTACAGCCTCGACCTGCTGGGCTCCGGTGATCCTTCCGCCTCAGCCTTCCAAGTAGCTGGAACTACAGGCACGTGCTACCACGCCCGGTTAATTTTTGATTTATTGTAGAGATGAGGTCTCGCCAAGTTGCCCAGGCGGGTCTCGAACGCGCGGGCTCAGGCAAGTTACTCACCTCAGCCTCCCAAAGTGCGGGATTACAGGCTGAGCCACTGAGCCCAGCTTAACTCAACCTATTAAATAAACGTTGCATTAGTTTTGTTTGCTGCATAACAAACTATTGCAAATTTAGTAGCTTGAAAGAACGCTTGTTATCTCACATTTTCTGTGGATCAGGAGTATGGACCGAGTTTAGATGGGTTCCCTCTTTTATAATGTCTCCAGAAGGAACTCAATGTGCCAGCTGGGATGTGTTTTCATTGGGAAGTTAGATTAAAGGGTCTGGTTCCAAGCTAACCTGCGTTATTGGCAGGATTCAGTTATAAGACTTAAGCCCTCAGCTCCTAAAGACGGCCTGAAATTTCTTGTTACGTGGGCCTCTCCAGAGGCAGTTCACACTATGTCTATTGCTTCATCAAGGCCAGCAGGAGAATGAGGGCTACTCTAGTGTGACATCCGTATATAATGCAACATAATTACGGTAGTTACAGCCCATCATTTTTGCCACATACTATTGGTGGTAAGGAATTCAGAAGGCAAGCAGCAACAGCTGCAATAGCCACATCCTTCCAGGTTCTGCCAGGAAAGCCTAGGGGAAGCCTGGGCTCAGCTCAAACCAGCCTACCCTGCCCAGCCCCAGAAATCTTGACCGTGAGACAGCTGTCCCCCGGGCCACTGCTCCACTCATCTCTCCAATCCCTCCCTCTATCCCAGAAAAAACAAGCATTTAAATCCTGACAGACAGTGCCTGTGACTCATCTAGCGTTCTTACCCCTCTCTGTGGGCCTGGAGGGGTATCCAAGGGCCCTGCCTAAATATCTCCACTTTCAGAAAAAACAAAACTAAGACTTAAATTGATGTCCCTTTGTTTCCATGAGGGACCAAAGACTACCAAGGTTAGACTTCAGTGAAAAGACAAAAAAGAAGATTACACTCCTGGGGCATTTTAGTTACCAGCGCACAGGTGACTGTGATCATTGCAATTCCTGACTCCAAGATGACGGGAACATAGATAATACTCTCTGGTTTTGGGTCTGAGGCCACCACTACTGTTAAAAAAATTATCTATGACACTTGCTAAAGAGGTGTGGTAAGATAAGAAATATTTTATTTAAAGAGTGCTACTACAATGGGATTTTGAAGTAGGGGAGAGATTGGGCTCAACTCCAAATACAGTAAGTCATCACTTAATGTTATTGATAGAAACTTGATCTTGGAAACTGTTAACTAGGCAAATACTATATAGCACATCCTCAGTCTTCAATGATTTTTTTGTTGTAATGTTGATGAGAGAAAAAAATCTGTTATATTTCATTTTGTTTAAAGTGGCAGTTTCAAAGAACCTATCAATTATGTTAAGTAAAGACTTGCTGTACAATAAATTAAGGAGCAGAGTGGGTGTGAAAAATTACTAAGAGGTGTAGCAATTGTTTGCTAAATTGACCTAGCAGAATTTTTGCTGAAGGTAGCCCAGGGTGGTAAGATATTGAAGGGGGTCAGACCAAAAATGGGGAATTTTCATTAAACTGACTCAGTAAGATTCTTCCTAGAACTGGACAATGGAACATGGAAGCTCAAAAGCTAGAACCCAGTTGAAAAGAGATTTCAGAGGACGCTGACTAGAATATGGTCAAGAAAAAAATATTTTGTCACCACCCAGACTTGGCCGGACCTGTCTATGAGTGGGTATCTTCAGGCCCCTATGAAGTTTTATTGTTATGGCTCCTATGGCAAAACATATTAATGATAGTGACAAATTGTCTATGTGCACCTCTGCTGGTCTTCATCGCCAAACCATGTTAGGAATTACTGCATTTTAGTGGGTCATGAGGGACATTTTAGTGGGGCATGTGGAGGACTGCAAACCCTCCTGATTATAGCTTGATATGGCCTGAGCTCTAGCTAAATGCATGATTGTTTGAGCAGGTCTTGGTCTTGAATATAATATATAATCACATGTTACCCGTGTGATTCCTCGACTACATTAGCTTCATGCGAAGCAAAGGAGGTAAGAGGTTAGAGAATGGCAAATGGGACAAATGAAACTTTTTATTTTACTTCAAATTAATAGAAAAATAAAAATAATGAAAACCAGTTTTCCGATTCAGGAAAAATAAATATTACAGGGTTGTGATCCTAGAAATACCAATGATATCTTTGTGGATCACAAGAGGAAAATAAATTCAGGGGTCCACACACTCATAGTTTTTCTGGGATACAGATCTAGAAAAAAAAAGGTAGCCTAGAAATAAGTTTAGTTTCTGCAAATTTTAATAAGTCCTCTCATATAGAAAATTAAACTGGGGTCATTATTTGAAGCTAAGAATGGGTGATTGGGTTCCTGATCAAAAATGTAAACTGAACACATACATACCATGAAACCACTTTCTAAAGTTAAAGTTTATAGAAGTGACTTACCTAGAGATGTGAGGGACATAGACTTATTTTGCCCTCAGGAACTGAGGCAATTTTTCTTTGTCCCAGAAACCAGATGTTTGATATCCATAAACTCATTACTGGATCAGGATCCTAGACCACTTCATTAAACTTTGGCTTAGGACAGAGTGTTTAGAAATATAGGTTAAGGTAACTGGAAGGGTGACCACAAGAAGAAAATAAGAGAGAAAGGGAAGTCAGAGGGGTTTCTCTCTCAAAACAATCCTGTAAACCAACAGGATACATGAGAAAAGGTAATATGTATTCATATAGCCATATAGCCTCAATATGTTAACAAAAAAAAACCCTTAAGAAACAAGGGGAAAACTAACAAAACAAAATTAGACATTTAAATGCATCTATTTTTACTAATGTATCTAGCACATCAAAACTAATCAAGAGTCATAAATTAAACATAATTTAGAAATGATGAAACTGTGCTAGGCAGAATAATGTCCCTCCAAAAGATACTTTCATTCTAAACTCCAGAACTTGTGAGTATGTTGGGTTATATAACAGAGGGAAATTAAATTTCATTAGATGAAATTCAGATAAAACTAATCAATAGACTTTAAAGTAGGGAGATTATCCTGGTGTATCCAAATGGCTCAAACACAATCATAAAGTTTCTTAAAAGTGAAAAAAGACGTCAGAATGGGGAGTCAGAGGGAGATATGACAATGGCAGAAAGGCAGAACTAACATACTGGCTTTGATGATGAAAGACGGGAGCTTCTAGAGGCTGGAAAAAGCAAGGAAACAAATTTTCTTCTAGAATTTCCCCAAAGACTTGCAACTTTCTCAGTACCTTGCACTGGCTCTACACTGGCTTTTTTAGCCCAGTGAGACTCATGCCAGATTTCTTAACTACGTAACTGTATCATAATATATTTGTGTTGTTTTAGGTCATAAAGTCTGTGACAATTTTTTATAGTGGCTATATGATACCAGTATATTCTGCTTTCAAAAAAGGCTCTTTGTATTTTTAAAATACATATGGAGTATGCGGGTTTTAAAATCTATTACTAGGAAATTAAGAGAGACTACTTTAATGATAAGATATATCATATTTAAAATATTTATAGTACAAATATACAGTATTATAAACATATCAAGAATTTCTATATTGATATATAGATTCAATGCAGTCAAATAAAATCCTGTGTGTGTGGGGGTGTGTGTGTGTGTGTGTGTGTGTGTGTGTGTGTGTGTTTGTTTGCAAATTCAGAAACTGCTTACAAAACTTTGAAGGTATGAAGGTATTGCAAAGTGCCAAGAATGGCTAAGAACATTTTAAAGAAAAAATTAGTGAACTTTTTTCAATATAAAGTATATAGAAAATTTTAATTTGATTTGTATACTACTGGTGCAAAATTATACAAAAGACTAATTAAAAAATACTGAAAGTACAGGAACATTCTTAGCCTTCTGAGAATTCTACTTCTACTGACTGTGTCTGGTTTGTCTCATGCTAAAACTCCTAGGATCCGATATCCATAGGCTACTAAAACTCCCAAGCTACATTCCATCTCAAGGGAAAGGAGTTAATATTGTTGGTCCCACCCCTTATGTTGAAATGAAAATGGCGAGGCTTATATAACCCAAGTTATTTCCAGGGAATATGGGAAAATGCATAAATGTATTCATTTTACCCCTTAATAGAATATTTTCCTGTTTAAAATTTTACTTGCTTCCTTTAAGTAGACATTTACCACTAATCCTGTAAACCAAGACAGAAGAGAGTCTGGTAAGTAGAAAACTGGAGCCAATTAATGAGGAAAACTCTACCCTGGCTCTGTGATTTTATCAAATAATGGAGCCTCTAGTTTACTCAGAGTCCAAGTAGGTGCTATGTCCTGGAGAGCAGGATCCTGGGACGAAAAGGATATATCATATTTATCTTCCTTCTGTCACCACTAATTCTGTAATAAGGAGATAGATAACAGTGGGAGAATATTGATTTCACATGGAGATCATCTAATGTGACCAGTGGTACAGATGGGAATTCAGAAGGAAAGAGCTCTTTGGGTAGAAGAATTGAGATCAAAATAGGATTTGGCTGAACCAACAATCTTTGGTTTGGATTTTTTTTTTTTTTTTTGATGTCCCTTTATAGGGACATTAGGGACATTAACGATAGCTGTCTACTTTTCTGCCTTTTAAGTGTATTTCCTGTAACCTGGGGAAAATATGCTTCCTGTCAGAAGACAATGAATCTGTGCTCCAAGAAGCTTAACCACAATTTAGCCTAAATTTCAAAAACATTTGGAATTTTTTAGTCTATTGCTTTTCAGACCACAGGCGATCATGCCATCGCCATGTGCGGAACAACTTCATGAAAACTCTACTGCTATATGTTATTGGATAAGCTTAGTGCCCATAAGAGTTCAGTCTGCATCAGACCTGGATATGTAATGTGGAATAGACTTTTATTTGGGGGACTGCCTTTGGTCAGTAGGATCTAGTTACATTTCTCCTTAGTAAACATGTATACGTCAATTTTAGCTAATTAAGGACTGACAATGACAAATCTAAGAAAAGGTCGCTCACTTTCTAAAGCTTTTGACGAGGGACTTGGCAGAGGGACCACCAAATCTAACATGGCTTGACCCACTCTTCCTTCCTCAAGAAAAGATAGATCCTATAGATCCTGGACAAATGCAAAAATACAGAGCTGGTGTGACTTGCTTATAAAATCCACTTCTTTTCCCTAAAAACTATATGAATGATTTTGTAAATTTGTTGAAGTTTATTTATTTTTTTTATTTTTTATTTTTTTGAGTTGGAGTCTCACTCTGTCGCCCAGACTGGAGTGCAGTGGCCGTTCCTGGCCACTGCAGCCTCAGCCTGCTGGGCTCCGGCGATCCTTCCGCCTCAGACTTCCACGTAGCCGGAATTACAGGCATGCGCTACCACGCCCAGCTGATTTTTTGATTTATTGTAGAGATGAGGTCTCGCTGCCCAGGTGGGTCTCGAACCCGCGGGCTCAGGCAATCCACTCACCTTAGCCTCCCAAAGGCGCGGGATTACAGGCTGAGCCACCGAGCCCGGCTATGTTGGAGAAGTTGAAACCTAAATCACGGCTCATGTTCTACGGGATCTCTCCAACCTGCACTCCCTGGTATCAATGTTCCTAATTCCCTTTCCTTCCCTTTTCAAAGTACTCTATAAAATAGGTTGCACAAGTGTAGTTAAAACTTAAAAGATGTTTTCAGCACAAAAACCACCTTCAAAGACAGACTATTTAGTACAAAGTTGGAGACTATCACAGATGAAGTCCAAGGACTGGCAGGCCAGAAACGAAAACATTGAGGTACAACTTTTTTATTGTTCTTGATTTCATCTCTAGAAGGTGGGCGTGTGTTCTGCCAAACTTTGCCAGGAATAATCACGTTAGGTGTTTTCTGTTATGGAGGCAGTGTCAAATTTGTTGATAGAATTGTCTCCCCTACTAACATTAGGAAACAGAGATCTTCCAAGGTTTAGGACATTGCCCCTCAACTCATAAACCATCCCCTGAGCTCACTGCTGTTTTCCTACTCAGAGTAATGTTGCTCTGTGTATTTTCTGGTAGATACATTATCTTATATTTATATCCCAGTAAGCACACATTCTAATCAGCACCATATTTCAATTTCCGTTAAAAAACAAAACCAAAAACTCTCTTTCAACACCCACAGAACTGATTAGCCCATTCTTTTTCTTCCTCTTACATTATTTTTTATTTTGCTGTATCCAAATTCTTTGGTTTATTTTATCAGACCTATTATCTGAAACATATTTGTCAGTTTTCTTCCCTTTCCTTACATTTCATCCAAGTTGAAAAACTTTAATATTTTTATTATTCTCTCTCCTTCCTCCTCCTTCTCTCTTTCTCCTCATATGTATTATTTTTCTTTCTTTTTTAAACCTGGGTCTATTCCAAATAATCTTCCCTGAGAAAAAAACAGTTAATTGTGCATAATCTTATGAAATTTCTCATCTACAAAAATCACCATTTCAAGTAGTTTATTAGTAAATATATAAATAAATTAAGCGGCAAGGAGAAGGGGCAATAAACAGTCAACTGTAGAGATGCCAGCTCTACCTGACAGGAGGTGTTTCAACTCTAGGAACCCTAGGTTTGCTAGTTGCTGTCCCCAACAATTTTCAACGTCAGAATGGAATTGTTAGCTTTCCCAGTTCATTCTGACAATTGGTTTGTCCTTAGGGCTCAAGAATCAGTGGAACCCAGACTGAAGAGATCATGTATAACATGAGCTGTTACAACCCCAGTTCCTTTATCCTTGTTGGAATACCTGGCCTGGAGAAGTTCCACGTGTGGATTGGGATTCCCTTTTGTGTCATGTATGTCATGGCTATTGTGGGCAACTGCATCCTCCTCTACCTCATTGCAGTTGAACACAGCCTCCACGAGCCCATGTATTTCTTCCTCTCTATGCTGGCCACCATGGACCTCATCTTGTCGACTGTCACAGTACCCAAACTCCTCAGTAACCTCTGGCTTGGCTCTCAAGAAATAACCTTCTCTGGTTGTCTCACTCAGATGTTCTTCCTCCACTTCAGCTTTGTGATGGACTCAGCCATTCTCCTGGTCATGGCATTTGATCGCTATGTGGCCATCTGCTTTCCCTTGAGATACATGACCATCCTGACTCTGCCAGTGATCATCAAGCTTGTGGTGAGCATTGTTATGAGGAGCTTCTCTGTCATCCTGCCAGATGTTTTTCTGCTAAAACGCCTACCTTTTTGCAGGACACGTATCATCCCACACACATATTGTGAGCACATAGGTGTTGCTCGGCTTTCCTCTGCTGACATATCCATCAACATCTGGTATGGATTTGCTGTACCTCTCATGACTGTCATCTTGGATGTGATCTTTATTACTGTTTCCTATACATTCATTCTTCGTGCTGTCTTTCAACTTTCATCCCAGGGTGCTCGACAGAAGGCCTTCAGCACGTGTGGCTCCCATATCTGTGTCATTCTTATGTTTTACACACCTGCCTTCTTCTCCATCCTTGCCCATCGCTTTGGGCACAGTGTTCCTCAAAATGTACTCATTCTGTTTGCTAACTTCTATGTAGCCATCCCTCCTGCTCTAAATCCTATTGTTTATGGAGTGAAGACAAAGCAGATTCAGGACAAATTTATTCTCCTCTTCTCTTTGAAGAAGTCACAATGAGTGAATACTGCAGGAGAAATTTAGGTAAACCTGATTTGGTGAAATTTTATCTAACATGAGAAGAAGTAAAAACAGAGTTGTAATGTCTATTAATTAGAATGTCAGCATTCTACCCATGTGAAATCTGTAGGCAAGAGGAACGGGGGGGAAAGAAAATCTCATAAACTTCAAAAAAATAAAAGATTTCCTTGGTTTAGTTTTCTTACCTTTTGTGTGAAGAAGTTGATGATGGATAAAGAAGATCACTAAAACTAAGGTTTATATCTCTTCCTTTGCTAATTTTAATATATTTAAAAGATAGATTTTCCTAAAATGTAATTTGTCTCTGTATTTCTCAACTTGTGAATGAAAATCAAAGACTCCAGCCTTCTCTTAAGTAGTTATCAATCCTCTCTACTGTGATCATCAAATATAGTCTCATGCTTTTTATGTCCAGATTCTATACATTATTAATGCCTTCTTTTGTTCTGTGTACTTTCCTTGCTTTACTTTTTATTTTTCCTAACCATCTGAGAAGACAGAGAGCTGTTTATCTTTTGTATTTTTTTAATATATGCTCCAAGAGAATTTCAAACTTGGTTTCTGACCCAAGCTGGGCCATATTTTCTAAGTATTAACACATTTAATTAAGAAAATAATTATGAGAGGATAATATAAGCTAATTTGATTTACAGATGAGGAAACAGAAATTTATGAAGATTAAAGAAAGATAATTAACACATGTAGGATCCAAATCCAGGTCTGAATGATTCCTAACTCTAAATGTTTTATCCAATTATTTCTTGGGTATCTATTCACTCAAATGGCTCACAAGCTCCTCAAACTTAATGTCTCCAAAACTGACCTGGAAACTTACTACCTGACTCTATACAAAGTGTTCTTTCTTTTATATCTCCCTTATGGTAAATGGCACCACCAAAACATGAATTCCAAAATCAGAAATCTGTGGCTTATCCTTTGTTTCTCCTGAGTTACTCTCAAATAAAATTAATTGAACATTTAAGTTAAATATTTAGTTTTGGGTACTTATAAATCATTCTAGTGGATATATACATTACATTTTTATCTTTATTCTAGTCATTGAGCTTGACTGGGCTCTTATCCACTATCTGCCTCACTGAGAGTATTTCAATTTTTTAAAGGAAATTCCAACCTTGCTCCATCCAATCTACTCTTTCTATAAAAACCAGAGGGATCATATTACAATGTATAAACGACTGTGTTACTTTGTACCTTGAAACTCTTCAGTGGTTCTATTGTCATCAGGATCCTGTGGAAGTAGTGTCCTTCCTTAGGATAGTTTCAGGGAATGGAAGACTTGAATGAAGATAGTAAGAGCCTTGCACTTTTTTTTTACATGTATTTACAACTTAGTTATGTTTATTTACACCTTGTTTGCACTTCCCTGACTCGTTGAGTAATTCCAGAAGTGATATTTTTATTTTATGTTGTCATACTCAGTATTCTTTTTTATATACAAGATAAAACTTGAGGTGGGTGGAGTGTGTGTGTTGGATGGAGTTGGGTGGGATCCATCTATGCTCCTGTCAGGAAACTGTTCCAGAATAACACCACCTATTTCCCTAAATCGTCACTGCAAAAGAAGCCATATATTTAATCCAGATAAACATATTAAATTTCATGGAAGTAAGGAGAGTAAAACTGGCATTCTGAGATACAAACCTGTGTGTGTGCGTGTGTGTGTGTGTGTGTGTGTGTGTGTGTGTGTGTGTGTGAATGAAGGGACTCTCTATAATGCCTTTATACAATTCAGAAGAGACACATGCAAGGGCTACTTTATATATGCCACTATTAATAACTGTCATTACTTATTTACTTATGCATTTATCTATCAACACCTGTTATGTTAATAGCTATGCTATGAGCTATTTAAAGGTAGAAATTTAATCCTAGACATCTTCTTATACTCTGTTCAATGCTAATACCTGACAAATCATGTGTTCTGAATACATTTCGTGCATATTCAAACTTCACCAGAAATCTCTTCTTCCAATACATTATCTTCAACTTTTCCATTCTCCCTTCTCTAAACAACTTAGATTCCATAGTGTATTGCTTCAGTTACTGCCTTGTTTATTCCCTAAACTCACTTGTCTCTCTTACACACTCAATGGAAAAATATTCCCAGAATCTTGGTGAAAATAGCAATATATTTTAGAGAAGCTGGCAAAAATGACCCCACAGAGCAGACTGATACTCTTGTAGTCAATTAAGACAGTACACCCACCGTACTTGCCTAGTTTCAGCTTCTCAAATACACCAAATTTCTTTTTGTCTCTTTTCTTTGTTATTCTTTGCTTGGTGACTCCTATTTACACTTCAATTAAAATACCTTCTTCAGATATTTCTTCTTTAATCCTACACTGCACTTTTTATTTTAGAGATTACATAACTTTAATAAAGTGGTTTCTTATATAGTTTTTTAATGTTTATCCCCTGCATTCGGTCACTGAAGCTCAGGTTAGTGTCTGCGTTGTTTACCATTGTATTCCTATCACCTGCAAAATCCTTAGCACATAACAGGTATTCAATAAACATGCATTTACTTAACAAATGGGTCAAAAATGAGTATTAGCTAATAAATAAAATTTTTATTTTGCATGTTGAAAATCTGGCCAACTTGCAACTTAATTCAATCAGAAAGAAAATTCTGAAGAGTCGTAGGACTTATTTTCTCCATAGAAAGGTGATAATTGTTATCCTGATTATTTCTCAGACCTTGTCTTCACACCAGCAGTCCCCAACTTTTTGACATCAGGGAACAGTTTTATGGAAGACAATTTTTCCACAAATGGGATAGGGTAGGGAGGTAGTGGGGAGGATCGTCAGGCGTTAGATTCTCATGAGGAGCTTGCAAACCTAGATCTCTCGCATGCTCAGTTCACAATAGGGTTCCCACTACTATGAACATATAATGCTGCTGCTCGTCTGACAGAAGTTGAAGATGCACTCACCTGCCACTTACCTGTACAACCTGGTTCCTACCTGGCCACTGACTGATACCAGTCCGCAACCCCGGGTTTGAGGATCCCTGTCTTAAGCATTACCGAGTAGTTATTCTTTTTTCACAGCTGTGGAAACCAATTTGCAGTTAAGTATTTTTAAAGCACAAAGAAAGAAATGATGGGAACAATAAATAAATTTTAGATTTTTAACCACTAGACTTTCTTGTTGGACTGATGGGAGGCTGTATGAAAGACTTTCCTAAGTACCCAGGCGAGGTATCTATAATTATCAGAACTTCATATAATTTGTGTTAGAGATTTACTCCACACACATAGATTACTAGTCTGTTCTCTGAATGATGAATTCAAAACAAAGTTAGTGATGACTCATCACTAGGGAAAGATAGAGGTAACTGCCAAGCAAGACTGCTCATAGAGGAAAGTATCAGAAAAGAGAAGCCTCTTCACAGAGGTATCCACAGAGGTACATGTCTCCAGGGTTTTGTATCTAAAGTGAAAGGTGATGCATTTCAATTCAACTGATGTTTATTAATCACCCACTATGAAGTAATCTCTATCAAGGATTTAGAAGCTAGAACAGCCCCTGCACAAGAAGTTTTCGACTAGACCTGGGGACATGTTAAATCTAACTCTTGCAGATATTCTCTATAAAGTTACTGGTCAAGACAGATAAAGACCCTGCTGAGATTCAGTATTCTACGTTAGAGCTCAGACAATAAGAATCTAAGCTATGGTTTTGGCATGCTGAGTACTTTGAACTGAAGGAGATTGGAAGAGCCTCAGAAGCAAGAACTTTTCTCTGACCTTCTCTTCCTTTCCCCTGTCCTCATTTCTTTCTGAATTGAATTATAAAAATTAGACTTCAGTTTTCCCAAGGCAGGTTTTAGAAACTATTCATAGAACTCATCTCCCTCTAAGCAAGAGATAAAACCTAGAGAGGTCACTATCTGACCTACCTTCTCTGAAAGTAGCCATAAATTCTTATTCCAGAAGGTCCTGCCTGCTAACTGGGGTGGGGTAAGGAAAGAATGCTACACTGGAAGGCCAAAAAGAACCTGAACAACAGGTCTTGTGCTAAGTTCTACTCAGTTTATTATGATTAGATTATACCCTTTATGTCCAATTACATTTCTATACAACTGCCCATTCTTTCTTGAACCTAAGCATAAAAATAAATACTTTTCCCTGGGTCTTTGGATCTTTATCTTTGAAGTTTCCTACATCATGGAAAATTTTGATTAAATAAATTTCCATATTTTTCTTTTGTTGTTTTGTCTTTTGTTATAGGAGTATTGGCTATGGACCCTGGAATAGATGAGAAAGAAGTATTATACATTTTCAACCTTACTCTACCTTCCTGCATTATATGATTCCCAAACCATCACTAATATAAGCAGAAGTGTAGGTTTTTAAAATGGAGAAGTGTTAATTTAATTGAATCTTTACTCATATTCTAGACTAACTTGGGGCTTTGGGACCTGAGGTTCATAAGTTCCCCAGACTCAGACACTGTCTTTTAATTTGTCTCTAATCCCTGGAGAACACAAGGGTTGTACATTTGCCCTCCATTCCTCTAGGCTCTGTATTTGTTCTTCCCTACCTTGAGCATGATCCTATGTCAGTCCCTTTTGTCCTGTGTCTGTCCTTCCTGACCCTGGAACTGTTTCTCCTGTTCTTTGGTCTATCTTATACCTGTTGTGTTTCTGCACTCTCTGGTTTTTACTCTACCTTTGAAAAAACAGTTCCAAAACCAACAGTTCCAAGGATCTCCAAGGCATAAGCTGATGGAAAGCAGTATAGAACTATTAAGGAGTAAAGAAGGTGTAGAGTACAGTTGATAAGAAATAGAACTGGGAAAAGGGGAAGAGTTGGGAAAGAGTGGACTTCAGAAAACCGAAAAGTCCAAGATTAAAACGTTGAATATAGTTTTAGAGCTTGGCAAGAGAATGGCATAAAAGAGGAATGTTTATTAGGAGCTTAATTCTGAGGTCCCCCCACTGTTCTTTTCAAAAT